ATGTGGCCTCTACACACCATGGTCACATGGTAACAATAGACAAACTCTACCATGTCAGGGACATACACATTAGGACCCTCCTCCTATTTCATTTTCAATGCCTCAACTAATTATACACTGTTATATACTGGAGGCATCATCAATAAGTTCAAGATTTTGAAATCTTATATATGTATATCATATTTTCCTGCCTGTCCGTATTTAGGAATTGTGAACCCCTGAGATACAAAATGTAATTTGTAATTCTACATTAAGTTAAATAGATCATTATGAAACGCAGGAGAATGCAGGGGCACATTCATTGAGGATACACTTGATCATTAATACAATGCCTGAAGAGTGAATCATGCTTTTTAAAAACACTCTCATTTCTTTTTATTACTATCAAATCTGTGAGCTCAATAACTCACTAGAAATATAATGTTTGGTCCCACATGTAAAAGCTACACAGGCTCCTCATAGATGATCCCTCATATCTTCAAAATCCTATAGACAGCCAATGTCTCTGTGAGCGCTCTTGTGCAATAAACATGGGAAGAAAATATATGAACAAATGGGAGCTTAAAAGTCAGTTTTCATATAGGAAGATGTTTTGTGTTGAAAAGGGACACAACTTGTTTAAAATACTGGAATTGAATCATGGAAAAAGACCAATGATTTTGTCCATAGGAGGTGCAAGAACCAGAAGAGTGTGCCAGTATGCAATTCTTGGAGTGGTTTCCTCAATATCGTTACGATAATTTGCATTGTGAGGGAACATAATAACAGGAATCCTATGAATGGTACAGTGCCATAATCTGAGATTCACCAGGGATTGTCCACAGTAGCATAAGGAATTCCACAGAAAATGTCATTCAGGACCATAAGGGCCAACATCAGTCATAGGATTAGTTGCGCCACAGAGATGATAATGAGTCATGTCTGCCCAGTGTCTCACAATATCAAGATGGTAAAATATGCATAACTTACACACAGGTCTACTGCAAAATAATATGCTGGACTTAAAATTATCAAGGATAATATTAAAGACATATATCTGAAGACAACTTATAATCTAAAATCAAAGTTCAATGGTAAATGCATACTTAAGAAATTAATATTTAAATGCCTTTGAATTAGTAAAATTGACAAAGTTTTAAATGCAAAAAGTGAACCATTTTTTAACAAATTATAGAGCTCAGTGCAAGTTTAGGTAGCAAACAAAATATTTCCAGTCATGCTTCCCTCCCTTTTTTTTTGCAAGATGGTCATTATTGATACCACAAGACCAAGCTTGTTTTTGAAGAGCAAGACATAATTAAGGAAGTAATGATCAGTCAGGTAAAAGGATCTATAATCTAGAATACGTTCTCTTGTTGATTGGATTATTTCCACCACTGTCTTTATTAGTATGTACAGATGGCTGTGGAGGTGGTGGACAGGAGTGTTTGTATTCCTATGATGTTACCAATGGCGTAATGGGGGAGGGATAGGAAGCACTATGTGAATGATTCTTCATGTTTTCCCCAAAAGATCAAAATCATCAATATTATTCACTACTGGTTAAAGAATAAAAAAAAAACACATTTAAACATTCTGCACCAGTTCAGGCTGGTTAGTAATATAAGCCATGTAAACACTGCTCCTAAATGTTGGGAAGATGGTTTGAGATAGGCAGGCCTTTTGCATATTTCAAGTTTCATTTTCTGATTTGGTACACAGACAGCTAGACCTGTTTCAAACCTGATCCCTGAAGCCATCTTTGAGGGCATCAGTTGCTGGAGAGAATGTATCCACACTTCCCATCACCATGAATATCCATAGATAAGGATTGAACTTGATACCCTGCTGTCAATAAAGTAAAAAAAAAAACATAAAAAAAACCAGGAATTTCTTGGATAAGAACTTATTTTTTGAAAAAAAAATGTACAGGCAGCAACATAAAGCAGATTGGAAGAAATTAAGTGTAGACTAATACCTTATGAGGGGACAGCTGGGTGACATAAGGGATAGAACACCAGGCCAGGGATCACAAATACTTGAGTTAAAATTCAGCCTGAAAATTCAGGCATGTCACACTCAAAAGTCTTTTAACCTCTGCCTTAGCTTCCTTATGTGTAAAATACTGAAAGCTATAGCACCTACTTCCCAGAATTGTTGTGAACATCAAATGTAATAATAATTGTAAAGTGCTTGGCACATTGCCTATCATAGAGTAAATCTGATTTAAATGGTTATTATTATCATTATCATCATCTTTCTCAACCATATTGTATAAGAAATGCAGAATGGATTTATGACCTAAATATAAAAGACAAATCATGAAACAAAAACAGACTAGAACAAGATAGGTGCTTACAACAAGTATGGCTGCCTAACAAGCAATTAACAAGAAACAAGCGTTCTGTCACACAAACTGTGTTAGGCATTGGACATACAAAGACAAAAATGAAGAAATGAATAAATATGGACAAGAAGAAAACAAGAAAATGGATGTGGTCTTTGGTTTCAGAGCTGGGACTTGAGCTCAGACCTTCAGATTCTAAAGCCAGTCTTCAAACTACTACGCAACAATCATCACATGATTTTTTTTTTCATTACCAATTGTAAGTACCAAATATCTGAGATGGAGAGAGGATACTGTTTCTCTAAAGATGATGCATGTTCTCTGAATAGAGATTCAACAAGGATGGGCACACTGGCCATGCCCATTAAATATGTGTGGATGGATGGTGATGACATTATTGCACTGATCACCTATTGGCATTATTAGACTCATCAGTTATCGCATCAACTAAGTTGCATTAGATATTAATGCAATTCTTCTATATGCACATTGCAAACAATAAAATGAATTGCAGTAATTGTTAAAGTAAATAATTTACAAATTGGAAAAACAAGTAATTTTTATTATTGTTGGAAGTGTCCAGATGGACTGCATTTTTTTTTAGGCAACTGGGGTTAAGTGACTTACCCAGGGTCACACAGCTAGTAAGTATCAAGTGTTTGGTCTGAAGGTACATTTGAATTTAGGTCCTCTTGACTTCAGGGCCGGCGCTCTATCCACTGTGCCACCTAGCTGCCCCAGCTGCATTATTTTTTCTTTAAGTGGAATTGATAGGCATCTATGATTTGGAGAGTATTAATTTACTGATCAAACCTACAATCTGGAAAAACATTATTAAATAGAGTTCTCTGCAGAATTGAAGGCAGTACATAGCTAGCATTTAAATCCTAAACAAAACTCAAATGTTTTCCAATACCACAGGTAAGAGCATGCAATTATTTTGCTATCATGCATTCTTAAACAGCACTCAGGGAAATAATGCTTTAATACATATGGGACACACTTATCTGGAAATGAATCTCATAGTTAGCAAAAACAGAAAAATCATTTTAAACCTGATTTTTCTTTTAATAATTAGAATCAGAAAAAAATAAGGAAAAATCAGGAACTTTACAATTAATATCTCATTTGCTCCTCAAAACAATATGACTTAGAAGTGCAATTATCTCCTTTTGAAAGCTTAAGAAATTAAAGCAGACAAAAACTACATGACAATGATACATGACTAGGATGGCAGAACTGAAGTATTTGAAACAACTTTTGACTTAGCTATATCTGACTCCAGGCACAGAGACAAATTCAATGGGCCACTTAGCTAGTTGATAAAAATTTCATTTGATCCTCACAAAAGTCCTGGCACAGTGATGTTCTTATTAGCCCAATTATGCCAAAAAGAAAAAAAATTGCAGAAAAATGTTGTGTTATTTGTCAAAAGTCAAAGAGCTAGTGTATGAGGGTAGATGAGAAATCAGTTCTTCCTCATTGCAGGATTAGTTCTCTATCTACTACACCACTTAGTTCCTTCTAAAAGACATTAAAATTCTCTAAAGGCATTCCAGTCTGCTCATCTGCTCTAGCTTATTTTTGTTGGCCAACAATAAATCCATTTGTAACCATCTGTCCTAGAGATACATTCAAAAAGGCAAACTCTCTATCCCTGAGCATGACGCAACCATGGCATATCATTCAAAAACAGATGCCTAGAACATAGAAATTCTCCATGAAATTAGGTAGATGAGTGAAGTTTTTAACTTATTACTGTCTGGGCAATTTCCATGATGTGTTCATAACAAATCAATTAAACATCTCCATTGCTTCAGGGACATGGCCTCCTGGGGACACCGAAAGCCATAAAGTCTGACTCTAGTGTCTGGCAGCAAAGATTAGATGAGCATGCTAAAGAAGATTCTCCCATCCAGAAATGCAGGTAACATTATCCCTTGTTTGTGAACTTCCAGTGTAGAGGGTATCAAAAATATGGAGTCCAAAAATCTCAGTCAAAAAGTTGATCACTATGTTCATTAATATGGGGAGCAGGAGAATTTTTTGCCCTTGGGCAAAATTCCATCAAATTGAAATGGCCTAAAACCATTCTAAGAAAGCCATCAAATGACAGTTCCTTACTGTTGCAGGTGTCATAGTAACTTTTCTGCAGAGAAATCAAATAAGTTTTGTCAAGGGATATTTGGGATGACAGTGATCTTTGAGTTAATGCTATGTAATTGGTCATCATCCAAACAACAGGAAATATTGTTTTAAAAAACTGTCTTTTCGTGTCTCTTAGAATAATATTCATTAAAAACACCAAAATTGTTAGCCTCGTTCATCTTCATAATGCAGGATAAAAAATATCTTCTCTCTGATAAGGCAAAGGGAAGGGGAACTATAGAGGTCAGCAGATATAGGGAGTTTCCTTAGATATCATACAAGAAATGACTCCATGAGGCAGAAACTGTGATTGATCCTAGACCTTTACCTTCAATGATTTGGGGACCCCTGAAAAAGAAAATTCCATCAGTTGGCATTGGCTGTCACTTTGCAACTGATCATCATAGACAATGACCCAACAACCACAAGATTTCATGACTAGAAGAGGACTTTTGGAACATTGTTGGATATGCAAAGAGTACTCATAGAAGGTTTCTTTCTTTTCTTCTCAGAGTATTTTATTTGGATGGAGGAAATGACCAGCCTGAATGAAACCACAGGGAGCCAGGTGACTGAATTCATTCTCATGGGCCTCACAAAACGTCCTGAGCTCCAGGGCCCCCTCTTTGTTGTGTTTTTCCTCAACTACATGGCCATACTTTTGGGGAACTTGGGCCTGATCATCCTAACCAGTGTTGATTCCCACCTCAAAACCCCCATGTACTTTTTCCTCAGGCATCTGGCATTTGTTGATCTTGGCTATTCCACAGCTGTTGGGCCAAAAATGCTAGTTGGATTCATAGAAGAGAAAAACATTATTTCTTATAGTGGGTGTGCCATACAGCTAGTTTTCTATGTGATATTTATCACTAGTGAACTTTTTATCCTGTCAGTCATGGCCTATGACCGCTATATTGCTATCTGTAAGCCTCTCTACTATATGACCATTGTGTCAGATGTGGTATGTTGGCTCTTGGTGGCTATCTCATATCTCTATAGCACCATGGTGTCCCTACTAGTCACAATAGAGCTTTTTAAATTATCTTTCTGCAAATCAAATGTAATAAGACACTTCTACTGCGATGGTGCTCCCCTATTGTCCATTACATGCTCAGATGCAAGTGAGATTGAACTAATCATTATGATCTTTGCTGCATTTAATTTTGTTTCTTC